AATATGAAAATAAAACAATTGAATTTATATTCAAGATAATTAAATCATTGATTTTTTTTTCCAATTTATTATCAATAGAAATGAAAATGACAATGACAACTAATTATATAACTATTAACTAAATAGTCACCAAATGAAATAGAATTGTTACATTTTTATATTAATTATCAACTCAATGATCAAACATATATTCATCCTATTGAAAATTTATTTCAACAACTAACTCTTTTTTAGACAATATAATACAAGCAAATATGCTTTACTTGACAATATAAAAATACAAGTAGAGTTTTTGATGTGGAAGTCATTTCCTCTCTGTTTTTCTCTCTCTCTGTCTCTCTGTCTCTCTCTCTCTCTCTGCTTCTCTTTCTCTCTCTTTTATTGTGTCTTTCACTTTCTATCGTTTTCTACTTTGTCAAATTAGACATTGCCAAGAATATCCAACAGATTGCATGTTTATTTCATTTTTTTTCTTTTTTATGATTTTCTTTGTGGTAACTATGAAAAAATGTAAGATTCTTAAGTCAACATAAATGATTCATGACAGTCATTTTCCGTTTTGAATGCCTTAGGATGACTCGTCATATCTTATGAACATCAGCATGTCGTTATTAGAAGAATCACCGTTTTCCATCTGTCATCATTAGCTTCTTCAACGATAACATCATATACATAAAAAATTAAAATTTTTTTTTTCGACTATATTACGTTTATGACATTTCTATTTAACAAAAAAACAGACAGATAGGAAGTCAATTCAGAGAATAATATAAGAAATAATACTATATTTTATCGTTTCTTCATTTGTGCATGATTTTCCATAGAGAAATTTTCTTTGAGTGCTAATGATTTTATCTTTTTTTTTTTCCTATCGTATTGACAAATTGTTCTACTGAGAATAAATTCTTATTCTTCTTTCTTTTTCCTTCTTATATTCATCATTGATATATTTTTATCATCAACTTAATTTGCATCAGGTGAAACGATCTGGTAATTATACGTATATGTCACTACCCTTTATATATACATATGAATGAAAAACAAGTAAAACCGTCAGAATTTTGTATAGCATAGTTCAGTAAATAAATTTTGAGTTGTTGTTTAGCCTTTCAAGAATGATTAGATTCTTAGGATTTATTGTTATGTCTGTATACGTCTGTTGTTCCTATCCTGTTAATAACACTTTGAATTTTCTCCCTATTCTTAACTCAATGAATGACAAGGAAAAAAAGAAAAGAAAGAGTCTATTATGTAGAATTAAAAAAAGAAAACAATTAAGTTATTGAAGAGAATAGTTAAGATGTTAATTAAAGTAATAATTAGTTGATATATATCGTTAATTAATTAATATTTGTCTTAGCTTATTATTAAAGATAATAAATATTAAAAATTTGATACTAAAAATGAATATTCAATTATCTACATTATATTGCATATGCATTGTTTTTGCCATTCCATTATTGGTATTGTCAACATCGAGACAAGAATTCGAAGAAAATCTTCTAGATGACATCGACAATGATCTTGATCGATTCGTTAAGTCAAATTCTCAACGTAATCAACCATTCCGTTCTTTAATTTATAATGATCATGGTGTCTTAAAAAAAGCAGCTGATTTTGAACAAATATTAAAACCATGCAATCGAATGCCAGCTAGTGGTCGTGGACATGAGTATGCTGATTGTGTACGCAGTCGTATGTTACTCATGGGTAGACGAAAATGAACACAATTATATATTTTAACAAATTAATAAAAAAACAGCAAAAGTAACAACAAATCTTTGAATGAATTTTTCTCTTCTTTTTCCAACATTAAATACTGGCAAAATTCGGTGTATATTCATTATTTCTTTTGTTCACTGCCTTTATCCCTCATATATTGCCAAATGGATGTCAATTTAAGTTATCAATAAAAGAGAAAAATAATAAAATTAAAATATTAAAAAAAAGAAAAGAAGCAATTGTTGTTTTTTTTTTAAAGATAGATTTACAAAATAAATCTAAAGATAAAATAATATACAATTAATGATAGATATATATATTAATTTAAAAACATTGATGATTGAATCGTGTTTCTATTATCGAGTCTATAATTTGTCGATCGATTGCTCATATAAATCTAGGCATGCATTGATACAATCATAGAATTGATAATTAGTTAATAATTAGCATCATTTCAAACGTAATTTAGTTTGAGTAATGCAAGTACAAATTTATTAGTTTTTTTTTCATAGATTTTTCATATAAGAATGTCATGCAAACTCAACAGAAAATGTCAAAGTCAAATGATAAAAAATGAAATTTTTAGTTCAATTAATAATGACATTATATACAAATTAAATTAACTACTTTTATATTCTTGTTCTTTTGTTTTTATTTCTATTAATGATGATATTAAATATATTATCAAAATAGTTCATCTTTTTTTTTTTTAGTTTTATATCATGTTAATTACAATATAATATTATATAATCAAGAATTATTGCTATATATATTCGAAACAAATTGCAAATGTGTTTTTTTTTGACATTATAAAATAAATTAATCATGCAGAATAAATCAAATTTGAATTAACATCAAGTTTCATTTGTCAGTTTTATAATATATTTCAAAATTATTGTTTATCAATGCATTTCAATGTTAAATTTATAACTATAAAATAGAATTGATGGATATTTGATATATCCTATCTTGTTTAATTTAAATAATATGTTATTATTTATGAAATAAGTCGGAATAAACAAAAAAATGCCTTTAGTAAAATTATTCTCAGATTAATATGTCAATGACAAAACGACTGATTTTAGTCGAAAAGATATCTTATCATTATAATTTCTTTCTGTTTGTGAAATATACATTTGATAATGAAATCAACTTGATCTTTATCCATCTATCATATATATATATATGATTAATAACTAAATATAAAATGTGTCATTGACAAATATATTTAATATATTATAAATGACAAAATAAACAATGAACTTTTTTTAAAATTATTATTTATATTTTATTATCAAATAATAAAAAAAAGATATTTTTATTTTTGTCTTACACGATCATTTTCAACCTAATAAAGAATAAACAACATCGAATTATCCATATTAATTAATATATAAATAAACAATAAGAATAATATGAAACAATCTATAGATATTCAATAGAAATAAATAATTATGAATAATACGACATGAGCTTAGACATAATAGAGAATATCATAAGATAGTGTTCATCGTCTTATCCTTGACTCTGCAGGACATTTTCCATTTTTTTTTGTCGTGTTTTTAACAATCTAAGACGAACTATAAAAATGTTCGTCTTGACGAGACAAATGACTCTCTGGTATCCAGTCTGCAGGATGATATTTTTATTGCATTTTTGACAAGAACAAAAACTTGTTTTGATATGAATTATGATGTCAAATATCATGGAATAATATTTATACAAAAATCATTTACAATATAATTATCTTTATATATCTTATCAAATCTTTTACAGCAGAAGCCATATGAATAACAAAAAAAAAACAGGATTGAAAATCTAATCAATATAAATAAATCGACAACGAAAAAGAATAAAACTTGGTTTTTATTGAGTTTTTTTTAAAATTCTCATATAAATCACTAAATAGTGTTTTATCCAATTGATTTATTGATAAATATGTTTGTCTTTGAGTAAATGTCAATTCAACTGAACTAAATTATATTTCGAGTAAATCAATAGTTATTCGTTAGTCATCTATTCTTCCAACTACTATTAATCATATTTATCAAATATTATCATGAGTTTCACTACTAGACCACAACTTCATTTGATTAAAATCAATTAGCTCACTCTGTTCTTTTCCACGACTAAAATATTATCTCGTCAATGATGTGTCCGACAAAACAAAAAATTTTATCCTAAGTGAATGAAGTACAACCAGAACATTACGGAAAATAGTAACAATTTGGAAACAGTAGTCTGGTAACCGAATTTATCTTGATCCGGTCGGAATCCATCGAAGTCGGACAGAGCCACAGTCGGATACAATCATCAAATTCCTACCTTCAAGTTCCTACCGTTTCCTGGAATTTTCCGGCCGGAGTTATCATATTTCCTGCTGGTTCTCGCCGGAAATTCACGGATCTGGGAGCCGAAATGATTGAGTTGCGCTCCTATTTCTGTATATCCGGGACAAAAATAGAGTATCTGCAGGACACGTCTTCTGTTATATTCTTTGAAAGATAAATATACATTAATATCATCATGCAATATAATCAACCATTGTTATTATAATCCAATAGACGTTGATAAATACTCTATCAAATATAAATATATATCGTCAATTAATCGACTATTCAAGAATAAAAGTACGTTCTAGGTTTTTTTTCAAGGTCATTTTTGTTATATTTTCGATTCGTATGTTTTTACTTCTGTTTTAGGCTGATAGTAATCGTTTAAGACTGAAAATTACCATCATTCTATTTAAAACAAAAAACAAAAAATTCTCTTATGATTCGAACATTATTTCTCTTGTCATTTAATAATAGTCAAGTTACTTTTTAAATATATTCATTTTGATATGGATTCTAAGAAGAAACATTCTCAACAATATGAATTATATTATAAATAATAGCACCTTACACATTATGCAACATATTAAATTATTTTCTTTTTGTTCACTGACGCTTCTTAAAACCAATTTATGATAAACAATTGAAATTTCTTTTTCTCTATCATTTCTAATAGAAGAATTTACTTTTTAAAGATAAGACTTAATAATTAATTATTTTGATTTAACAAAAAATTCAAAATCTTTGACTATTACTGATTATATTATCATTGAATGAATTCTCATTTTTATAGCATATTATTGACTGTAATCATTATCAATAGCCAGATTAGATTTTACACAGGTTATTTAGAGAAGAAACAAATGATTGCTTTAAAGAAAGAAGGATTTTATTGAAAAAATCGATATGGAGATTCTTTCAGTAAGTATGAATAAAAACATATTTTTAACGTCGACCAAATCCACCTTGGGAAAAATTGGCTAAAACACCAGCAAGATGAAGAACAGCAGCTAAAAAACAAATAAAATATGATCAGAAACAAATACGATAACGATCAATATAGAAAACATACAGTTAAGTGCACTTTCAAGCGTAGGTTTTATTTGATTTGTAAAGAGGCCACTAGCATGGTCAACAAGGCTATCCATGATTTGTCCCCGAGCAACATTATTCAACTCGCGTTTACCAAGACTAATACCATTAGTACCGACACCAGCGAGTACTTGAGCAGCCATAAGAGCACCACCTTTTATAAGTAAACTATTATTTATATCTATATATTATTTATTAGACTAACTTTGAAGAGCTTGTTCAACTGGAGATTGAATTATATTTGTCCAAACACTTTGTAAACCACTAAGAAGATTTTGACCCAATGTATCAAAGAAACCACGGATTTCATCTTGTCGACCAGCGAGTTCACTCAAATCACGTTTACCAAAAATATTTGATAAACTAATACCATTGGTACCAACACCAGCAAGAACTTGAGCTAACATCAAAGCACCAGCTAAACAATAGAAA